GCAAGTTTTAAGGGGTTTAATCAATGACAGAAGAGGGACTTTAAACTATACAGAAAAGAAACTCTTTATCCTCATTGCACCAGTCTTTGACACTGGAGTTAAGCAGCTTGATGGAGGCCAGAACAAATGATAGCTTTAGGCGGTTTGAGTTGCACTTTGCCAGGCTGACTCTAATGAAAGAGGTTCGTGTTCAGAGAAAAGAAGATGCTGAGAACTTGCAGTTATTTTTCTTGCTTGGTTTCTGGCTGCCTGCTGTTAAAGGTGCTCTGTATGGCCTTAATCATATCTTTCAGTTTTATACAGAGTGAGGCAATTTAAACATTACCAGGTGCAGAAAAAACAATTGTTTGTCAAAATGAATGTGACTGATTGCTGTGGTTGTTTGGGTAACACAAGCAAGCTTTATATATAATAAGAACTGCCAAAGCTTAAAATGACCAAAGCAAAGCAGAACCAAAGAGTCAACTTTACACTCAAGCTCTGCCTAAAGTCATGAATCTAAAAAGAATCATGGGTATGTAAACTTTTTCTCCCCCTTTAGAACTTTATCTTGATTTTTACAAAGAAGAAGACGCTGACATTTTTCAGGCCATTACTGTGTTGAACAAGGTTTTATTATTTTTGTTAATTTGTACAATTACGTACAGAAATTCCGCATCACGCCAGACTTAAAGCATCTGTGAGGGCTAATAATGTGTCTGCTGTCAAGGTTTGAAAGAACTTTCCATTTCAACTTGTGTAAACTGGTTTAACCCTATTCAGGACTTTCATGTTGCCATACGTAGAAGGTCTTTGGGGGTCCATTGGACTCCAAGAAAGAATAAAATTGACCATGATTCAGGACTGAGCATGTATTATTGCTTGTCCCTTTGTGTCACCCCTTTGATGGACTATCCAGAGTGATGCTTCGGGCCAGTGTCAACTGGGATAGACTCCATACCTCAGCGACCCTCTATGGGATAAAGCAGGTGTAGTGAATGTATGGATGGATAATGTAACACAGAGAGTCAGCTTTGAAAATGCACCTTCCTCACTATATGCAAAATTGTTTTTTGCCAAGATGAACAAGGTAGCTGAGGAGAAAGTGGGTTAAAAGTTATTTTTTTTACCAGTCTAAGACGTCATCATCGTCGGTCACTGTCCTGGCCTCACTTCAGCACAGACACAACAAACACGGTGAAGTCGCGGTACACAAACAGACGCCGTGTTGACAGTACTGAGGGGATTGTTTCAAAGTCCGTGTTTCTTGATAATGTGGCTCACAGTGACAGAACATTGAACTTCCATGTTATCAGGATGGACTGACCTTGTTGGCATGGTGACATTTAACCCAGTAAGGTGATGTCACTGTGTTTGCGCTGTCTGTCTGGGTACCTGCACGTCTGAACACCGTAAAACTGTACAGGGTGCATTCACAACAGGTTCAAACTGCTTTGTAGTTCAGGTCCTTGAAATCATATGATGCCATGGTGTTAAACTTATTTCATGCTTCTTAGAGACACTAAGGAGCAGTAGTAAGTAGAATATATAGGATGTAAAAAACTGTTGGAGCCTCATATTCTGTATTCGCACTGAAAATGTTGCAGCTATAAATGCAAAGTGGCTAGGGTTAAGATGCAAAGAAAAGATCAAAGGGTCAAGGGAGGTCAAAACATCTCATCCCACTCCAGCAGTGGGCTGTGATTGGAGAATTCATATATTTTCAAGAGCATTTTCTGCACAGCAAGATGACATTGGGCTACTCAGGAAAGGAAGAAAAGATCAAGATGTTCTAAAAGACTATAGAGGAATAATAAAAAACCTCACACTGGGTGATACCTGGCTGTGTTTTTAATGTCAACAGTGTGCCTGCAGACGGTATCCTGATGAAATGGTGCAGACATCGGAGAAGCTCCAGGGAAATTTCAAGCTCCTCCGAGGGGAAGGAATGAGAAGAGGAGATTTGTGAGAATGAAAAGAAAGCAGTGAAAACAAGTTCACCTGCAACACTCAGTTGGCATAGTAATGAAAACAGGAAGAACAAAACAAGAGCAGCACAACTATCCCACATGCCAAATTTATAATAACTGTCAATGTGTCTGCATGCCAAAGTTCGGTTGGGTGATTACTGCACACGTACATTCCTCACTGTTGTACCTCGCCCTGACTATTTAAAAGCCACATGAAACAGCTTCATGTTTGTCCGCTTAAAGTACTCAGTTACAGTACAGGTATGAATATTTTTATATAAGAAAGAAACAACAGATTTTTTAAAAAAGCCTGCCTTTTGTTAGATGATTGCAGTAAAAAAAAAAAAAAATGTAATAATATTGATTTAACAGGAACATTAATCACCTTTTCATGTTGTCTTGTGCTAGATACAAACACCTGTCCAAATACAGCCAGTTTTATTCATACAGCTCAAAACCAATTTAAAAATATTTACCTTATAAATCATTGGTTGTTTGGATCAGCAATTTCAGTTAAATATATCATATAGCAGAGAAATGCAGTGATATTTGAGAAGTGAAATGAAGTTTATTGGATTTACAGAAAGTGTGCAATAAGTACTTTAAAAAAGTAGGTACATATATATATATATAAAAGCATATACAGGCTGCAAGGTGGCTCAGTGGTTAGCACTGTCGCCTCACAGCTGCAAGATCCCCAGGCTTCCTCCCACACAGTCCAAAAAACATGTTGAGGTTAATTGGTGATTCTAAATTGTCCGTAGGTGTGAATGTGAGTGTGCTTGGTTGTCTGTCTCTAAGTGTAGCCCTGTGATAGACTGGTGACCTGTCCAGGGTGTCCCCTGCCTTCGCCCTAAGTCAGCTGGGATAGACTCCAGCCCCCCACAACCCTAGTAAGGATTAAGCGGTGTATAGATAATAGATGGATGGATGATTCCATGACACAGTTCAAAAGAAAATTCAGCAATAACTGAAGGAAAAGTCTAACATTTCATGTAAAGTGTCAGCACAAGACTGTGCGTATCAGAAGCAGAATGACCTGACGAGCAAAGTCTCTGCTCCATAAATTGAAAAAGTTGGCCACCAAGTTCTGATTTTAAAGCTGATGAGCGAAGGTTTAAAGGTTTAGGTATTACTTTGGGAAATTTGTTTACTTGCTAATGCTTAGATTTGAAGATTGGGACCATTCTCAAGGATGTACATATGAAGTCGCAGCTAGAAGCTTGATGTAGCATAAAGAGTGTAGCCGTTGGGAAACAGCTGGCCTGGCTTCGTCCAAAGGTAACAAAATCTATGCCTACTGGGAGGCAGTGAAGGCTCCAGGGAAATTATAACAGCCCATAAAGTCATTAGTTTTTTTGTTACAGGGTAAATAAAATACAGAGCGACTGCGCCCTTCAGCCTTTGTGCTAAGCTAGGCTAACGAGCTGCTGGCTGGAGCTTCAGATATGAATACAGACAAGGGAGGGGTGTCTTCTCATTTAACTCTCAGCAAGAAAGCAAAATAATGTATTTCCTAAAGCGTGGAACTATTTTTATATAGCAAATGAGCAGTCTGACTTCAGATCCACAGTCAGATACTGAGAGAGGTGCTAGTTTCAGCTCAGATTAAATGTGTTCGGTCCGCTCAGCTTTGCACAAAGACTGCAATCAAGAGGAAACTATAGTGTTTATATTTTAAGTAATCTGTTATTTTTTTTTTTTTTGTAATCTCTGGCCCACAAACGAGGACACATCATAATTTCATATGCAGAATACTGCTGCAGCACACTCAAACGCTATAAGTACTCACACACACACACACACACACACACACACACACACACACACACACACACACACACACACAAGCAGCTATAAGTCAAAGTCCAGCTGCGTAGGTGTGAGATGGAGAATTCCAATGTGGCTTCATCTAAAAATCCAGTTTATACAGTTAGAAAACGCTATTGTTATGTTTCCTTTTTATTATAGTCATCTCAGGGGGCAATAAAATCAAATCATTACATCTATAAACACCAACATGATTATAATTCAGACCACAGCAGTGGCCCTCTGTTCTGGTTTTGCCGGTCTTGTATTCACAGTGGATCATGTGCTCAGTGCCACGTGGGAGGTCACTGTGGTGTGACTGTGTAATGATTTAGCCGGAGGTTTTTCTCAGGCTGCCCAAGGTCATTGCGACTCTTGAACACTTGCCTCTTTCAGGTCAAAATGTGGACATTAGCGCCATATGGGTCACTATCAACCCAACGCATTGATTTGTAGGTGAACGGGCATGCGATGGGGTGTGTCGGGTGATCCATCAGAAGCTGCGTTGATGACAAAAGCACGGCAATGAAATGTTCGTCAGCTGTCATGTGATGCCGGACAACACAAGAGCAGTCGGGGTGTCATAATAGACTCCATACAGCTGACTGTGTATGGCTGTGCTCCCAGGAGGGTTTATTTATGTTTAGAATGGAAACTGTGACGCGAGCATGTCTCCCCCCCGAGTGTGTGTCTGTGGCGCATCCACCCATTGGCATGTCTGCCTGCGTCCCTCAGGAGAAAATAGACAAGGACGGTCAAAGGGAACTGGAGTGCACAAGTTCACTGCCGGCCAGTTGACCCGTGAGCCCCGTGATTAACTCTGAGCATCATCTGTGTTGCTTTGGCTGCATTTAAGTACATTTATTCTCCATATTGTTAAGTGATAATGAACATTTACAGCAGCATGACGAGTGTATGCAGTGTTTGCGCTCTGGTGAAAACAGGCCAAAAAGCTAATAAAAGTTCCGTTAACGGCTGATTTAAGTAGCATCTCTGACACCCATAAACCTATTTTCACAACATGGATGAACACACCCTTGGATTTCTTATCTCCGCAAGTAAACCATTAGCGGAAATCATTACCCATTATCTTTATTACTTCTTCAGAGATACTGCTCTTCACTTATGGCTTCCTGCTTCCTGCTCTCTGTGACCTCTTTATATATCCTCTCAACTGGTGTCTCAACTGATGATTTCAGTTAGACAGAGAGAGAGAGAGCAGGAGAGAGTGTAATTAAATTTTATTTGCTCAAAACGGCAGTTGTGAGATGGTATTAAAACTCTGTACATCTATAAAATAGCATAAATTCTGGAAACAATGGACTCATTCTCCACTGTTGTTTCACTTCTCACACAGAGGCCTGAAACCGCTGCATGAATGTGAACTCCCCCCAGGGACACTACGGAGGCAGCAGGGGGGAGTTTATGTTCATGTGAATTTAAGAACTCCCCTAAAGTTTTTAGCTACTGTTAAAAATCAGCTAAGTAATATAGAGCTACATACATGGTTGCTGAGGAAAAAAAGAGGCTTTGTTCCCTCAGTAATTACGTTTGTGCAACTTTGCTGCCATCTACTGGAGAATTTGTGAAATTACAGCATATAAGGTCCAACAGCACAGCGCAGGCATACAAAAGTGCACATTAAATCCTTACAATGTGGACTTAACTGTTAAGAAGCGTCAATTATTACACAAAAAATAACAAATGAACTGTTCTCTCACCCATGCACCACCAACACCTATTGTGTTTACAGCTAATTTTGCATCCCCCCCCCCCAATTTTACACACTATTTTAAATATTACTTTGCATTTTAAACAGTGGGATCAGTGGTTAGCACTGTTGCCTC